CTTCTTGATGTATAATTTTTTATTACTGGTTACAAATTAATTTACCATTCCGGGAAAGGTTTCGACCAAAGCTCCGGCGCCACCTGAAGCAAAGTTAACCCCATAGGTAAATTGATTTTTACAGTTACTTGGTTGTAGATTTGGCGGTATCAATGGTAACCATGCGTATTCCGCTGCCACGTCAACAATCAGTTAAAAAAACTGTTAAATTTTACCGGGAAAATAACAACAAACAGAGTATTAAATAATCGAACATTTTATTAGTGTTACCTAGAAAATCAGGAATTAAACGTCCGTCAGAGATTCTACCGGTGGGAGATTTGAACGTTGTTATACCGTACGGCCAGAAATTACACCGGAATCTAGAGACAGTGTCGATGTAATTGTTATTTCCGGCATCAAACAGAGAATCTCCGAACACAAATAAAGCAGCTTGGTTTGTTACGAGATTGTTGTCCTCTTTGGAGGTGATCGAGCCGAACGACGAAATCACCGTGTAAATGAAGAAGATGATCGAAACTAATCGAGAACTTTCCATGTGTTTTAACTTTAAATGTTTGTGTTATCTTGATGTTATTGTAAATGCTCTGTTTTGCTTATAGATAAATAAACAGGTGACATATGTGAAGATTTGACCTAAGTATATTTTTTATGTCGTAAGGTTTGAATAATATATACTCACGAATTTGATCATACATTTTTTTTTTCTACCTGCTCATTGTATATATTATCGTCTAGTCAAAAAGGTGTGTTTTAAATTATTGTAGATCATCTATAAATATATTGAAATTACTTCATCAGTCGGTATTGAAAACAATAATCATGTCTTGCTCAAATTGAAAAATGATGCATCATGTGCGACGTGGAAGAAATCTATGCAATGGAGGAAGCGTTTTATTGTGGATCACTCTTGTTTTTGCCGACTCTGTTGTAAATAATCAAACAAATATAGCAACATTTTTAAAATGAAGCAAAACAAAAAAAAAAATCACTTATTAGAAATCTATATTCCGGGGAAAAAAAAAAATTTCCGTTTTCAAGAAAAGATGACGTGTTTTGTAAAAGAAAAGAAACCATAAAAATACGCCTGTAAAGAAAAACTAATAACTTTGATAGTTAAAAAATTTATGGGAAATTCAATAATATGGGGCCTAGTTTATTTTGTACAGTTGTGGAAAACTAAAATTCGTAAACTGGATATGAAACCGAAGAGGCAGCAGTGGCAGCACACTTTCTTCACAAGATTAATTATTACTAGCTTTAGTCAAAAGACAACGTTTCAAAATAATTAATGAAACTATTATGGGAAATTGTAACTAAATAAATAAATTCTGCCCAAATGTATACGAAAGGAAATCCCAAGAGACTCTTTCTATATATTGTATTCACTAGCAAGTACTTACAAGGTAAAATGCAGATTTCTATCAAGACTGTCTTTGGAAAATCAACTATCAACCTAGAGGTCGATGAAGAGGAGTTGGTTTGAGTTTTTCCTGTACCAGTCGATTGTACTACAAGGAAGTGATACAGAAGTTGAGCTGTGTGATTTGTGAAGAGGAGTTCGAATTTGGAGATGCACAAGCGCGGTTTGGGCTAGAAAAAAGAAAGATATATTTACCTGGAAGAAGGAGGAATAGGTTTACCTGGAAGAAAGAAGAATATATTTACTTGGAGGAAAGGAGAATATATTTGAAGAGAAAAATAAGGAAAGGATAAYTACAAAGAAGAAAAGTTTCTTTAGGGTTTTGAGATGTGCTCTATAGGTATATATAGAGGGAAGCTCGTGGCTGGAGTTCTCTGACGCCTCTTTGAAGAAAAATTACAGAGAGATTGATTGAGAGAAGGCGTCCTCTTTGTTGTGTGTGGT